ATTGTTATTAATCTAGGCATATTGCATTTTTTAAGGTCTCATCATTCGTGGGTAACCCTGTATAAGTCCATATCACTTAAGCCAGATTTTAGTTTAATCCGTCAAGAGAAAAAAATGATATTATCTACAGAAACAGAGCGATTGAAGTTTGCAGCAGCATATTGGGTTCCATCCGCTGGAGCTGAGGCCACCGGAGGGAAATGGTTTTCAGCGGAGGGAATTCACAATTGTGATTTAATACTATTCCTCTACCGGAGGGATGATTATTAACACTCAGGATACTAATTACTTTAAAGTAGGGATGGTAATTATCACTCAGGACACTAATTACTTTATCGGAGGAATGGTAATAAACACTCAGGACACTGATTACTCCATCAAAGTGATGGTATGTAACACTCAGGACACTAATTACTTTAAAGTAGGAATGGTAATTAACACTCAGGACACTAATTACTTCATCGGAAGAATGGTAATAAACACTCAGGACACTGATTACTCCATCAAAGTGTTGGTAAGTAACACTCAGGACACTAATTACTTTAAAGTAAGGATGGTAATTAACACCCAGGACACTAATTACTTCATCGGAGGGATGGTAAGTAACACTCAGGACACTAATTACTTCATTGGAGGGATGGTAATTAACTCTCAGGACACTAGTTACTTCATCAGAGGGATGGTGATTAACACCCAGGACACTAATTACTTCATCAGAGGGATGGTAATTAACACTCAGGACACTAATTACTTCTTGGAGGGATGATAATTAACACCCAGAACACTAAATACTTCATTGGAGGGATGGTAATTAAAACTTTTTAAATATAATTGCAGTTTACAAAAAATCTGGGTATAGCTTACCGAGCTATAAACTACATTAGATATCTTTATAACAGGAACCATCAAAAGAAGCATAAAAACCATTAATGGCATACAGGAATTTGTCCCGGTGGGGGGGGGGTGGTAGTAAGCCCACTGAACTTATTAAATATATAATCAAGGTTCAATACAATACAAATAGTTATACCTTGAATCTATCTGGCTGGATTAGGCACTTAAAATACAATATCACGTGATATATTCACATTCTTCATAAACAATAATCTTTTCTCAATAACTGCATTTTATATTTTCACTTTTCAATTCAGACACAGCATTCCTATTATTAGTTGAATATCTAGAGTATCCAAATAATTACACTCTTCAGCTTGAACTAGCGTAGAGTATATGTTATCTGGGCCACAACCAACTCTCGACTGCCAACTGGAATCTAAAGTTTCTCCAAGTTCAAACAGGGGATACCAGGAATACGCTTAACATACACATAGAACACAGGGGGATACAGAGAATATATAATACAATATAAAGAATACACAAGATTAAAGGTTACAGAATTATTTGATTTTTAAGCAAGAGAAGAAAACGTTGAGTAAGTATTTAAAATTTCTGCGGAACAGTGCATGACACATGGCAGAATCAAAAATACTGGGCAAGAAAGTGAAAACAATATAAAAACTTTCAATTTCATCAAAACTATCACACAATACTAATAAAAGGTTTATGAAGAAGACAAATATACTCCCGCAAAGAATGAGACTTCAGAGACGACTTTTTTAATACGAGACTTCAGAGACGACTTTTTTAATACATTCGTGGTTCCCTATATCTTTGTACTTTATACATTCTTTGCCAAATCATTAAGTACACTTAACAGTTTAAATCAAAGTACGAACAACTTTTCTAGATTATTAGGTCGTCTTTATAATCTTATTCATTATGGGTAACCCTGCACCAAGTTTGTATTTTTATTCGTCTAACATGAATGTGATTTATATTAGGTCATGAATGTGTACATGGTTGGGTCGTGTGAATAACCAATTTTACCTTTCCGCCCCTCCCATGGACGTTTACTGGAACTCCCCGAATGATCGTGAATGCTGGTTGACACTGAATATAGTAATAAACTAGGTCAAACGTCTACCTTTCACATAGTTTTAACCAAGGTTGTATAATATGGTAGGTTACTCTCGATGCGCTCCAATGTACGGAAAATGTCGTCTCCTAGGATAAATAAAAACCTCATGATGTCACTGATTATTGAGGGGAGAGTGACGTCAAATGAGGTGTTTTATCTATTATCTATCTAATTATGGCATGGGACGTAGCGGTGCGGAGGGGGGATAGACAACACTCTCGCGTGGCCGCAGCGCCGGCCCTCTAGCCTGTCCTAGCCGCGGCGCTCGGCCCCCTAGCCTGTGCTAGCCGCAGCGCTCGGCCCAGCTAGCCCATCCTTGCCGCAGCGCTCAGCCCAGAAATTGACTTAACCTAACCTAACCCTCAATAATAAAAAGTAAAAGGAGTTTTGTCTATCTCCGCACCGCTACGTCCCATGCCTCTGATTGAGGAGAGAGTGACGTCATAAAGTTTTTATCTATTTATCTATCTGATTACTGAGGAGAGAGTGACACAAACCAGCACCAACCAGGTCATATGTGAAAATTCCTTCATCAGTTAAGAAAAGGCAAATTCTCTTTGAAATGATAAAACCCAAACCAACTTCAAGAACGGAATGAAACCTCCTTGTCCTTCATCTTTTTAAAAATTCTGATATTTATAATTTCATTAGCAATAAATGAATCCTTCCCTTAAAGATCTGTAAGCGTGATTTCAAATATCCCTCCTTGCATAGAAGGCAATACCAGATTTACAACAGTACCCTTGACACATTGATCTGATTAAAAATGTCGCGGGAAAATATCTGAAAATATCTCCAATCTTTCTTTTATGTAAGAAATGCTCAAGGCCCTTTAACAGCTAGAAACCACAACTGAAATCAATTAGTTTGAAGAAACTAAAACATGGATATATCTAATTCATACTTTGACAGGAAAAAAAAACCTGTAAAGGAAGTGTTCGCGTTGTAGTTCAGACATTAAAGGTTATATTTAATAGCCACTCATATAATACGTCTTCGGAATACTTAGTAAGATTTTTGAATGAAAAATTATATCATCTACGACTGTAGGGTTGTTAATCGTTTTAAAAATGATAATTTTTCGTTTAGTTTCTTTTTTCTAGAAACGATCAGTTCGTTTTTTAAAACGAAATACTCGTTTTTATAAAAATTTTCGCTATTGAATCTGAGTTGACAATTAATTTTTTTCAGGAAGATAAGGTTATGCAAGAGGTTATGAATGTAATCTTAAATGCGTTTTTTTATCGAGAACTGAATGTTTTCTGACTTCGGATTTTCCGACCAATAAAGGTATTTTCTCACAGCTGTTGTTAACGAAGGGTCGTCGTTAACGATCATTAACGAAGGGTTGTCGTTAAGGATTGTTAGCCGAGGAATGGTTTTCAACAACGATCGTTTTTAAAACTACCGCTTTTTAAAAACAATCACTTTATAAAGACGATAATTTTTTTAAATGAATAAACAGTCTTTTGAAAAAACTTTTAATTGGGAAACTCGGGAGAACCACAGAAATGTTCTTAGCTTGAATTTGAGATTCTAAATTGAGTAAGTCTACTTGTATAGAAAAAATAGCTAAAATCGTAATTTACGAACCAAGTGCGGAAAAAGGGTGAAACTAACTATACCTACCCTGAGCAATGCTGAGTTCCCAAGCCAGTATATAGTATACATCCCGAAAAATGCAGACACAAAATTTGCGGCTTTAGTCTTCCAGTGCATCCGAGTCATTTTTTCATCCAAAGCCAATGACACGAAACCTCAAAAAACGGCTTAGATATACTCCAGAGCACAAAAATGTTGGTTGTGTTAAAAAAATTTACGAACACTAAAAATAATGTAACTGCACGATGTATATTTTCGTATAAGAACCAATAGAAAATAAATTTATAAAAATTCAAGATAATAAGTTTCACAGAAGGTAAAATACATAATAGCAAATAAAAAATATTATCTACATAATCCCGCAACAACTTAATACTTCTTCTTGTTATTATTGTTGTTGTTGTTGTTGTTGTTGTTGTTCCTCTTCTCAGAATACATTTCAACAATGTGTTCCTAAAAAGAATACATTTCAACAATGTTTTAAGAATACANAGAGATAGAGAGCCTTAAGATTTGGCTAGAGATTTAATTAAATATGATCTCGTTAGACTTTGAGTAAAGTAATCGTTAGAGTATTAGCATCTAGATTGGTTACATGTTTTCCTGAAAAGAATACATTTCAACAATGTTTTCCTAAAAAGAATACATTTCAACAATGCATTCCTAACAAGAATAAATTTCAACAATGTTTTAAGAATACATTTCAACAATGATTTCCTAAAAAGAATACATTTCAACAATGTTCTCCTAAAAAGAATGCATGTCAACAATGATTTCCTAAAAAGAATACATTTCAACAATGTTTTAAGAATACATTTCAACAAGGATTTCCTAAAAAGAATACATTTCAACAATGATTTCCTAAAAAGAATACATGTCAACAATGATTTCCTAAAAAGAATACATTTCAACAATGTTTTAAGAATACATTTCAACAATGATTTCCTAAAAAGAATACATTTCAACAATGTTTTCCTAAAATTATGTTCTCTAGGTTTATTTGCAGAGGTTAAGGGATAGGTCAAAGTAATTGTTAAATAAGCCTCGTAACTAAAATAACCATTTTTGAAAAGCCCATTTCAAAAGAATGTAAAAGAATGTCATATTTTATAATGTTTTACAAAAAAAACATTTTTGTCTGACGTTTTCCATTTTATTGTGAAAGCGGTCTAATTCTTTTAATAATGAGCTTGTATTTAAAGACTTAGTGTAGAGACTCGACGTTAAGGCCTTGTTCTACAGTGGGGGCTGTACAGTTCACCCCCCCCCCAAAAAAGAGTTGAATATACACCATTTCTTGAAAATTATTGTAAGGCTGTAAAATATATATCAGTTGATTTGTTGTATTGGATTGGAAGTTTCAGAAACATGCTGTTACGGGTTTACATTGTTCATAAATGTATTATGAACTTAATAAAATTTTAACACGAAAAAGTCTTAATTTTCTCATTTAATTTTCTGTAAAATCTTACCAAGAATACTGCTTGAGGAATCTCGAAGCGAGCCAGCTTCTGACCTGATCCATGTTTCTGTAAAACCTGAGACAAAATTGTATTAACAGCGAGAAGTAATTAAACTACGTAGGCTAAGTTGAACTAGGTAGACTAAGTTAAACAGGTAGACTAATTTAATCCACCGAAGACTAAGTTGAACCACCGAAGACTAAGTTGAACCACCGAAGACTAAGTTGAACCACCAAAGACTAAGTTGAACCACCGAAGACCAAGTTGAATCACCAAAGACCAAGTTGAACCAAAGAAGACAAAGTTGAACCACCGAAGACAAATTTGAACCACTGAGGACAAAGTTGAACCAAAGAAGACAAAGTTGAACCACCGAAGACAAAGTTGAACCATTTGTAGTTTGATGATTCACTATTACGACCGAAAATTAAATTGAACAATATGTGGTTCAAAAATCAAAAGATTTGAAAGTTTTAAATCACTGAATCTAAAACATTCAAAAAGTTAAAAATCCGTTCTGATAGTACAAAATTCAGAAAAAATTGATTTACAAATATAAATGTGGCCAAAAATCAAGCAATATAAAAACAACGCAAACGATATACAGCGATTTTAGGCACATTTTTGGGCACCCATATCATCATTAGATTTTTTTTAATAGAATAACTTTTAAAATCTTTTTTCCTTTAGTCCAAGTCATCAAAATAAAACAGATTTAAGTAATGGGAATTTAAAGAGTTCTTCAAAACCTTAAAATGAAACCTTAAAATGAAAATCTCCAATTGGGACCAAATTTAATGAATTAGAGACGGGGCTGAACTATATACCGCCGGTTCAAATCATGAATCACCGGATCAAATCCTTATGAATCTTTAACTTTAAATCGGTGATACAAGAGTTGAACTGACCTTAGGTAGTTCAGCAAGCTAGCTAAAATTTTAAATTCTGATCCAGTACAACAATACCTTTAAGACCTCTGCCGTAATAAGCGGATCCTTACACATTTCCTCTCGTGTCATAGACTTCTTTCCAAGCTTAAACAAATCAATCAATCAACAGTTTTCTAGGGAAGATCTTCTATCAAAATATTAAATCATGAGATGAAATTACTGAATAAAGAAAGAGGTATGGACGAGGGGAGGAAGGCCAGCCACAACAACTTCTCAGCCGAGCCACATTATCCTCATTTTCTCGTCCAAACCACCTCGAAATCCTCGTCCTTCGTATATTATGTGTTTAAAAGTGTCTAATTCTTGCACATAAAACTATTTCTTACAAATCTGGCTACGTTAGGTCATAAAATATGGATAAACTAAAGTATTGCGATGATTAAATCATGTTTGCATCTTTTGAGACATGAGAATGATGTCAAACTTTATTTAGGTTAAACTTAAAACTCTTCTGCGTCCGTAATGGCCTACCTTCGCGATATGAAATAAATAGCAAATTATTTGTCATACCTCTGCCTATCATTTTCGAAATGGAACCACCCGGGAAAAAGTTATGGTTTTCACTATAATTAAGAAAAAAGCTCTAAAATCTCGGAATTATTTGCGGCATTCTACACCAGGAATATCTGAAAATGTGTGTAAAAAAGGTGAACATTTTTAAGGACATAGAAATCATAAACTTTAATTCAATTTAAATTTTTTTTTTTTACTAAAATTTAATTTATTTTCATTTATGCCCTAACGTGGCCCGATTCTTAAAAAATTGTTTTATCTTGGAGGACTAGACACTTTTGAATTGGAAGGACGAGGATTAAGAGGTGGCTTGGACGTGAAAATGAGGAGAATGTGGCTCGGACTAAAAATTGTTGTGGCTGGCCTTCCTCCCCTCTATAGACTCACTGATCGAGTTCAAGTGTAAGGTAAGTTGGTTTTAATGTTTTGTATGCCCTTAAATTAAATTTAAATTTTGTTTTAATATTATTAAACTTGGAAACAGATCTGATCGGACACTCAACATTGAATGCGAGTTGTTCTATAAGATGAGATAAGGTCCATAAAAGGAACATAGGATTTGTTTACATTAACTGTGTTGTATGAATAGGACAGCTGCAGAACTGTTCATATTTGTAATTAATGTAGTTTCTGAACGAATTACAAATTTAAACCTGTTCATATACAGGATTATCCAATAAAAAGAGACTGTAAAGACGACCTAAAATTCTTGAAATATGACAATTCAACGGATCAAGTCTTCAGCATTGAAAATAGACTTTTAACGTTGCAAGGAATCTTGAATTTAGAAAAAGATTATGTAAATTTCGGACAGCCGTCTCGGAAATCTTATCCTTTGTGGGTAACCTTGGACGCTCGTAAATATTAATAATATTAAAAACTAATACTTAAACCGTATAGTTAATAGGACTAAATCCTAAAATGACAGGATTGGAAAAAACAAAACATCCCATTCGACACTGCTATGGTCAGCAGCTCCTGGCTTATCATGGCTAACAACAGGCTCATCAAATAAAAATTAAAAAACACCATTTCTCCTCCGAAAAAAATTCTTCATCTTCTCAAATAACTTTCCTAAAATGATCACACACCGACACATGTCTCTTGTACATTATTAGTATGTCCGGTGAACCTGTTCAGCTAGCTGTACAAGCTGAGATTGATCTGGTACAATAAGAGCAACAGTATGTACACGTCCTGGATCCCCGTACACACAGATATTCTCAATCAATGATGCAGTCTTCAACAGGCTTTCAACCTACGCAAATAAACATTTAATAATAAAACATTCATGAAGTTGATAGGTTCTAAAATACAAAATCAAATTTGCCAAACCCCCTGGATTTGACCAATTGGAAGAAAAATGTTAAAAAATATTGAAAAGAAAATAATCATTATCTACCAATATGCATAATTCAAATTTATTTAAATCAAAAGAATATTTTTATCACAAAATATTAAACAGCGAGGTGCTTTTCAAGTTTTACATCAAACAAAAACTTGAGCAAAATACTAGAAAAACTAATCTATAACATGAAAGATATTATCGTTCCAGTATGAAAACTTTTATTTTTAACAATTTCCTCCATTTCTTTTGCAACGCAGAAATCCACAAATCACTATTTAGAGAAAACACAAAATGAGAATAATAAATTTGGATATTTAGTAAACTAAATGTTATGGGTAGCATAGACCAACCTATAAATAGAGAGAGACCTAAATTTACATTTACAATCTATGAAAATCTCAATTGTTCACTAAGGTTAAACAAGTTACATTGAAATTTAAAAAAAAAGATATTTTCAAATTACCTTTCCAAGACTAACATACTCTCCGCCCTGCATCTTTACAAGATCCTTCTTCCGATCAATGATCCGAAGCGTTCCGTTGTCCATGAGGTGGCCAATATCTCCAGTTCTAAACAGATAATTTTCTATTATGCTTTTAAATATTTTTACTTTTTAAACGAATTCCAAATTAAATGTCTCGAAATGGTCTAATTGGATGTAGAGGATGAAAAGGCTCTCTCAAGAAATGGTCTAATTGGATTTAGAGGATGAAAAGGCTCTCTCAAGAAATGGTCTAGATTGATGTAGAGGATGAAAAGGCTCTCTCAAGAAATGATCTAAATGGATGTAGAGGATGAAAAGGCTCTCTCAAGAAATGGTCTAGATTGATGTAGAGGATGAAAAGGCTCTCTCAAGAAATGGTCTAAATGGATGTAGAGGATGAAAAGGCTCTCTCAAGAAATGGTCTAATTGGATGTAGAGGATGAAAAGGCTCTCTCAAGAAATAGTCTAAATGGATGTCATGTAGAGGATGAAAAGACTCTCTCAAAGGCATTTTTAACTTTGACTCGGATGTACAAAATGTTTTCTGCAATGAGGTTTTTACGATTTGAAGGCCTTTATTTGCTTTAGTGTGCAGTTTTACACTACACTAAACCCAATATTATTGGTCTGATGTAACAAAGTTAATCTTTAAATGATGAAAAACGTTAGATAATTACAGAAGTTTTTAATAACAAGAGCTGGGAACTTTTGAATGGTGGATATCGGGATTAATGCTTGATCCACTCTTTTTCTTGATCAAGATTAAATAATGCTTGTTTTCCTCTTGTTATTAATCTCCAGATTAATTAAGCGATCGGGATTAAGGATATCACATTCTAAAGTGTTTAGTTCAGAGCTGGGAACTTTAGAATGGTGGATATCGAGATCAATATTGAGCCTCTCTTTTTCTTAATCTCGAGACTAACCTAAATTTGTACTTCTATCCTGAAAACTGATTAAAATTCAACCAATCAGAATCGCACATTAGAAGCCGGGAAATTTGAAATTTTGCGCACAATTTAAGATTAATATACAGAAACGGGAGGAACTCTCTAATATAGAAAAAAACGGTTTTTGATTTTTCTGCAAAAAAGTCGATTAAGCAAGACATTAAAAGTGTCCACATTTAATATTCGGATTAAGCAGTAGGGATTAAAGCTATCCCATTCTAAAGTTCCCAGCTCTGAAAGCACCGAACTTGACTATAATTTAGAGATTTATAAACTTACTTAAACCATCTCTTCCCATTCTCAGTATAGAACTCTTCATCAGTTTTCTCTGGCATATCATAGTACTCCTTAGCAACATTACTTCCACCTGTAAAAAAGGATTTAAGGATTAAAATAACTACAGGGCGTTTTTCGATTATGATTCTACTATGATGCAGTTGAAAAATTAAATAATTATTCTTTTAAAGGGACTGTAAGCGTAACCATTTAAAGAGAGACCTCCCCGATTCTCAACGGTTCTCTTAAATAATTGAGGACAGAGATATCTGTGAATATATCTTTTAAATGCTGTGTAAAAAGCCACAAAATTGAATTATACGGTCTAAGTCTTATGTTGCAATTTTCTCAATTTGTATGGGCGCTACGTTCTTCGGTATGAGACGTCTTTAACAATTTTCTCCTTATAGACGTAACAGATAAGTAAGATTAGTAGCGATCAAAAGCGCTTTTTTATCGCATTAAGCCTATACCCCCTTTCATTTATCGCGAACACTACCTTTAAGTTTAATTCACTTCTTAAAGGAGAATAAATGAACAGCTTCCAGAGCCGTCAATCTTCAAAATGAATTGCTCCAGACTTTTTCAGTGCACAAGTATTTCGCACCTGCAGTATTGATCTGAACATTTGTTTGGTCCGTACCAATAGTGGTCTTTACAGAAGGGACTGGTCTCTGGGGCTGTACTGCAAACCCCTTAAAAACACAGGGGTTTAAAGGGAAATATTTTAGGGGTGGGAAGTAATATGAAAGAAAGAAATAGTTGCCTCATTACTATTTTTATTATAAACTATTATTATTTTTCAATATAAGCTCCGATTCTTTTTTTTTGCCCCCTTTCTTCTTAAAACATGCCCCCAAAACAGATCTTTTAAATTATACTCACACATTCTTTTTCAAATTGCCCCGCCAGGCTTAAATTTGCCCCTTTTTTATTAGAATACCACCAAATATTAATAATTATGCACCCAGATTTAATTTATCNAGAAAATCAAAAGTTTGTCCATACTATTTTTTTCTGTTCATTCCTCTGAGTTCAGTCATAAAATCTCTGATGTATTTAGATTCTCGTACTTCAAGTAAACTTCTTCCGTCAAAATTATCAATCAAAATTATTTCTAACCTGTTGAATGATCATGACAATCTGCCACAGATCCGGTCGCTGTCGTTTCCGTCAATCCGTAACCCTAAATTTCAGTTTAGCATAAAACAACTAATTTATTGGTTGCTGTTTCCAGAGCACCCTCTTTCAGAAGACTCCAGAAGAGCTAAATCTCTTACATTAACTTCCTACCTGGAGCAATGATATGCCTAGAACTGTTCTACAGTATTCATGAGCATCTGGAGCTAGGGGAGCTCCACCAGATAATAGAACACGAAGGTTTCCTCCGACAACAGTTCGGAGCTTGCCAAATATAAACCTGAAAAGTAATTTTAAAGGGTCGATTTTTTCCCCCGAAATGATAATTGTTAAATTTGTTAACAAGTCTAACATTCGTTAGATAAATATTTTTGTCCACAGACATAAAATTCTACCCCCTAATGAAATAGTTCAAAAATTCGCTTTTAAGCAAACCCAAATAAAGAGGTAAACTTAGATATTTACTTGTTCATGAGCGGAGTTTCGTATCCTCTCCGAGTCCAGGTTAATCTAGAAAAGAAATTTTAAAAAAAATTTTTATAACCTATTCTAATTAATGTATAGGATCTAGAAAAATTGCAGAGGAAATATTGTTTCGAAAAAGTTTTTATCAACTGATTTTCCTAGTTGATCTTGATGTCCCCTATATGTAATTGATTTCCCCAACATGTAATTGATTTCCCCAACATGTAATTGATTTTCCCAACATGTAATTGATTTCCCCGAGATGTAATTGATTTTCCCTACATGTAATTGATTTCCTCGACATGTAATTGATTTCCCCTACATGTAATTAATTTCCCCTACATGTAATTGATTTCCCCGACATGTAATTGATTTCTCCTACATGTAATTAATTTCCCCGACATGTAATTGATTTCCTCGACATGTAATTGATTTCCCCTAAGTGTTATTAATTTCCCCTACATGTAATTTATTTCCCCTACATTAAATTGATTTCCCCTACACATAATGGATTTCCCCTACATGAAATGGATTTCCCCTACATGAAATTGATTTCCCCTACATGTAATTGATTTCCCCTACATGTAATTGATTTCCCCTACATGTAATTGTGTTCCCTACATGTTTTTGATTTTCCCTACATGTAATTGATTTCTCCTATATGAAATTGATTTCCACAACTAAAATAGATTTTCTTAAATGAACTGGAATATCCCCTACATGTACAGTAATTTCCCTTTCAAGTACAGTAATTTCCCTTTCATGTACTGGAATTTCCCTTTCATGTACTGGAATTTCCCTTTCATGTACTGGAATTTCCCTTTCATGTACTGGAATTTCCCTTTCATGTACTGGAATTTCCCCTTCATGTACTGGAATTTCCCCTTCATGTACTGGAATTTCCCTTTCATGTACTGGAATTTTCCTTTCATACTTGAATTTCCCTTACATGTACTGGAATTTCTCCTACGCATGCGGGACTTTCCCCTACGGCCTACATGTACTGGAATTGTCACTTAATATACTGGGATTTCCCCTAAATGTACTGGAATTTCTCCAACGTATGCTGGAAATTCCCCAACATGTACTGAAATTTCCCTACCTGTACTGAAAGCAGAAATCTATCAGATGTTCCAGAAATTTTCCTTTCTTCTCAACACCGGCCTTCAGACCTTTGTATATTCTGTCCAGAACAAGAGGAACAGCACACATTATTGTAGGCTTTAGCAAACTTATATCACCCTAGGATCATAATAAGCTTTTACATCCATTAAAAAGTGACATGCATATTATTTTATTAAAAAATTGATTATTTTCAGTTGCAATTTATCTGTAAGAGTAATATGCGGATTTAGATTTTATGTAGTGAAGACAAAGGAGAAAAATTTCAGATTTTAACATTTTTCATTTTTCAAAAGAGAACACAGTTACTCAGATAAATTAATAAATGTAAATCGGACAGGACACTTACAAAATGGAGGACCACTTGAAAAAATCCACAGCCTCTTTTAATGAGAATAACTCACCTTTGACCCCTTGGCCACCATTGAGCCTGTATCTAGAAGAGTATTAGTTGTAGCGTATCCTATAGGAACCCCCATCAGTATCATCAAGTTCTCAGCCAGGAGCTCCAGCACGTGGGCCAGGGGTAGGTACGCAATATACGCATCAGTAGAGCTAACAGTTCCAACAGCTTCACAAGCGGTTGGGAGAAGACAAAACAATCCCTAAAATGTATTTCAGAGATTGAATTTTTTGTGGTGATATTGTTCGCGCGTCTTATAAGCGCTTGATTTCAATTTTCAATGTGAGCACTTTTAATCTTTATAATTAAAAGTTAGAAGCAAGTGACTAGAAGCTTTATGGCTACTTTTTATTACTAAATTACTTAATTTTTTTTGTTGAGATATATTTAGAAAAGACGTAAATCAAAATCCTTCTTACTAATTTCCGATTAGTATATGTACCTAGCTGTCTCGGAAAAAGAAAAGTGTAAAAAGCTTTTTTGCCATCTAACAAAGTTTTTTTTTTATTTTTGTTCTAAAAAGTGCTTCTATGATCTATCAGTAGGTAAAATGACAATAAAATTATCTTTGAAAAATAGACCGAGTGCGTATTCATATATTGGTCTGCTTTTATAGGTTAAACTGACATTTTGGAGCAAAATGTTCAACCGAGGCGACAACTCTATAAATGACAATTTTTCTGCGAAGGAACATTTTTTAGAACAATAGGTCGCTGCACAGTGGGCTGTAAATTTTTTTTAGAGCTAACTTGTATGTACCTGTAGTATATTCTTGTGTGTCAGTACAACCCCCTTAGGTACACCGGTAGATCCGCTGGTGTACATAATTACAGCCGTATCTTCAGGGACAGGAGGGGCAGAGGCAATACTGNAACATTTCTTCCACTATAAACTCATGTTCATATCAAGTATAGGGTCTGTTCAGTACACATACTGACTAAGGGTTGTGGCTAACATATTTCAAATTTCCAGGAGTAGGCTATTTAAACATTTCTTCCACTATAAACTCATGTTCATATCAAGTATAGGGTCTGTTCTTTACACACATACTGACTAAGTAAGGCAAAACGGGACGCCAAATGAATCTTTCCCTTCTAGGGAGATCATAACATTGGGAAATCTAAATTCAAATGCCAAAACTGTATGCCAATAAATGAAGGAGCTCTGGATAAGGCCAATAGTAGAATTTGATTCCATAATTTAAAATGTTTAACTTACCTTGATCCCGTGGCAACAACATCATCCATGCTGTAATATTGAACCTAAAATATTTAATTTTAAAACTTTTTTTTCAAATTTAACTTTCATGGATCATGAAATCCTTGTATTTCAGAGTCGAAAACTTTAGTATGGGTAAATAATGGATCAAGTCCGTGAAATTTTTCATCCGAATGTAATCTAATTTCACTGTAAACAATTGTTATAATGCTTCATCACACAGAAGTTCAGACCTCTGATATTATTCGAGATTAAAAATTGAAAATTGCAAAAAAAAGAAAATTTACAAGAATTCAATATCATTCATTTTATGCAGAAATTGACAACTAAGTTAAATTTTTTTGTTAGATTAATAATCAAGAAAATTAATTTACTAAATTTAAGTCTTGCGAATGATCAATTAATAAATTTAAAAAAAATACTATATATAATTAAATCAGAAAGTTAGTTAAACTTGCTAGTTTTTTAATCAGATTGTTCACTATATTTGTAAACTCGCTAATAGGAATCAAATCAGCGACTTCATTAAAAACTTGCTATAGTTGCGAACCAAATCCAAAAGTTAATTAAAACTTACTATTTTAATTAAAACGTACTCTAGTTTAATTAAAACTTACTTAAGCTTATTATCAGATCAGTAAGTTCACTAGCTAAAAACTCACGGTTGTTAAGAATCAGACAGAAAGTTTACTAAAAGCTTGCTAAGAACCAAATTAGAATGTTTAATTAAAACTTGCTCCTTTAGAATCGGATCAGAGAGTATAAGCTAAAAACTTACCAGCTAGTGTTAAAAAACATCAGAAAGGTAATTAAACATCCCTAGTATATAATCTGATCAGAGAGTAAGTAACTAAAACTTTCTAGTTCATATTCAAACCAGAAAGTTCAATAAAAACTTGTTAGTTCAAAATCAGATCAGAGAGTGAATAACTATTAACTTACTATTTAAACATCAGATCAGAAAGATCATCTTAGTAGCCTAGAATTAGATAAAAAAAACTTACTAGATTTGATACAGGTTTAGAGTATGGTTTATGATTAGGGATAATGATAACAGAATGCACTGAGGGCGCGTCAGGAAGAACATTTGCTAGTCTGGAAACCAGCTCCTAAATAGTACAATGGTTGGCGATTTTATCAATACAATGAAGACGACTTTTATTGAACAATCATCTTTACTCCCTTACCTTACAAGCATTTTCCAAATTAAAAGTGCAAATAAACAAAAAGAAAATATTGATTAAATGTGCTCTTTGAAAGATTGGAAATATCAAAATCAAAATAGAAAGTGGTCTTTATTGTCATGTTAGAAAGGACAAAGACTGTATAGAAAGTCGTCTTCATTGTAATGATAAAAGGAAAACGACTGTATAGGGAGTCGTCTTCATTGTAATGATAGAAAGGACAACGACTGTATTGAGTCGTCTTCATTGTAAATTTAAAAAGAACAACGTCTGTATAGGGAGTCGTCTTCATTGTAATGATAGAAAGGACAAAGACTGAATATAAAACTTAAAATTGACGGACATCGTATGACGTTCATTCATAGACCAAACATTTTCAGTATTATTTACAAACCTGTGAAAAGTGAAATGCTCAACATTAAAATTTGAGAGTTAAGAAAAAAAACTAGCCTGAGAGGCAACAACTACTGCAGCATCTGTCTGTGTTATTCCATGCAGTACTCCTTCCTCTCCTTTATAATCAAAATATAAAGTATTCCAAAATATAAAAATAATTATCCTTCATCCGGAAAACTTGAGAAAATATAGACGTAATTTCAAGTGACCCTCCATTTATAGTGTTTCATATCAGATTTACGATGGTACCCTTAAAGAGAGTTTTCGCAAAAAATGGAAGGGGGTTTAGGCTCACGGCGAAAAATAAGCGCTTTTGATCACTACTAATTTTACTTCTATCTGTTGCGTCTACAAGTAGAAAATTGTTAAAAACTACTCATGCTGAAGAACACAGCGTCCATACAAATTAAGAAAGTTGCAACATTCAACTCGGATGGTAAAAAAATAAATTTAATTCCAAACAAATCATTTATCATATTACAACCAATAATCATCGATTATTTTTCGACGCATACATAAATAGTTGAGGTTTCATAATATTTATTATTTTTCATGATCTGATAGTTACTTTTAAAAACATTTATTCCTGTTTCGAGGATTTTTGATGATGAAGACGACATTTTCCATTTTCATATTTTCCACGAATGTTCGAAAATCCAGCGCCAGTGAAATGTTATTTTTTTAAAACAGAATAAAAAATAGTACGAAATATTAACTAGATATGAATGCGTCGAAAAATAATCGATGACTATTGTTTGTAATATTTGAATGATTTGTTTGGAATTACATTATTTTACGATCCGAGTTGAATATTGCAACTCCCTGAATTTGTATGGACGCTACGTTCTTCAGCATGAGTCGTTTTTAACAATTTTCTCCTCACAGACGCAACAGATATAGAAGCAAGGTTAGTAGTGATCGAAATTGCTTATTTTTCGCCGTTAGCCTATACCCCATTTCATTTATCGCACACTCCCTTTAAAGAAGATATCCAGGATTTAAAAATGAAAAAAGTAACATGAAAAAAAGTCATATTTCTATCGGATAATATTGGTTAGATACAGGTTTAATGGTACTGTAGTGAATTGAACACAGACTTCTCAAAATGGAGGCTCCCTAGAATTAGTGTAAAAAATACTGCAAATAAAATACCTAGATTTGTGTAAATAGTAACAATGGATAAGCTGTGCTTAAAGCAGGCTATAGCAGTTATCATCCAGTCAGGGCAGGTGTTCGCGTACACAACAACCTGTACAAGATAACCTGTACACAAACCTGTACAAAACCTGTACAAAAACCTGTACAAAACAACCTGTACACAACAATATGTACACAACAACCAGAACACAACAAACCGTACACAACAACCCGTACATAACAATCTGCACACAAGAACCTGTACATAACAACCTGCACATAACAACCTTAGCCCGAAACTTAGGACAGAGTATAGGAATGAAACCCAGAATCAGAAACCCCGTTTTATTAATAAGGTTAGGAAGTTTTGTATTGACACCAATATCTTTAAGAAATATTATTTCATGTGGTTTCTTTGCATTTTATTGTTTTCTGATTTCTAAAATTAAAATCTACGCTAATGTATAAACACCAAAAAGAAACCTCGGGAGTTTCGTTCAACGATACTCTCTTTAATTTCCGTCTCCGCACACAACTACCTGTACATAAAAACCTACACATAAAAACCTGTACATAAACACCTGTACACAATAACCTGTGCACAACAACCTGTGCACAACAACTTGTATACAACAACCTGTAAACAACCTGTACACAATACAACCTGTACACAATACAACCTGTACATAACAACCTGTACATAACAACCTGTACACAACAATCTTTGCACAACGACGTCTGGAAAACAGCCAAAGCAGAAAGTTTTTGGATCTGTGCGTTTGTGTAAATTAAACTCAGCTCGGATTAGACAGGATTAGTTCTAATCCGTCAGCATCAGCTGTAATTAGACACGAACAGCTATAAGCAAACAATCAGGTGGATAAGTTCTATTCAAACAGAATTAGTTCAGATCATACAGAATTAGTTCAGATCAAACAGAATTAGTTCAGATCAGACAGAACTAGTTCAGATCAGACAGATCTAGTTCAGATCAGACAGAACTAGTTCAGATCAGACAGAACTAGTTCAGACAGAACTAGTTCAGATTAGACAGAACTAGTTCAGATCAGACAGATTTAGTTCAGATCAGACAGAATTAGTTCAGATCAGACAGAATTAGTTCAGATCAGACAGAATTAGTTTTTTAGAAATATTTTTCATGAAACAGTTATAACAAAATATCCCTAGTCCTGTCAATTCTAAACTGTGATCTGCCTTTTTTTGCTTTAATAATTACCCGAGATATTAACAATTTTGTTAGATTTTAATCTATTAAATAAAACATCAAATTGTCTAATTATTCATAATTCAGGTAAATGTCAAAGCACAAAAAAAGCGACACCATTTTGCAAATGGCAGAATTTGGGCTACTTTTTCATGAAAAATATCTATAGAATTAGGTGTTCCAATACAGTGGACATGAACCTTATCTTTAGGTTGAAGGCCTAGTTCTCGTAAACCCTTGCCCAGCTGGTCAGCACGAGCTGCTACATCAACATACGCAGTCCAGGTATAGTCACCCAGCTGCAGCTTTGTGAATATCTGAACAATAATACAACAAGAGTTAGATAAGCAAATTAATCATGTCTAGGGGTCTAGAATTTACAGGAAGATTGGAGCTCTAAGAAATTACTCCCCCCCCCCGCCCCCGGGGTATTTTAGGGGTCAGGGGGAGGGGGACTGGTTCATGTCACAATCTTCCTTTTAAAATTCATATTTTTTGTTTTTCATGATGAGAATTGACTATTTTATTGTATTCTGAAATTTTTTCATTTTTAAACTTTGTATTAGTTGTAGCTTGTATGACCAATAATAATTTTAATTTATAATTACTTTTAATATTTATCCTTGAATGGATCCTATAAAATCTCCGATACTGCGCACATTTTAGAGGTCTATAGTGTATATAGGTTACAGAAGATTGCGAAAAAAACATATGCCTTATAGTCTTTTAACAAGAAATCGCAAGTTACAACGGATTTAGAATTCTCTAGATATAAAAATAGATTTTAATTACAATTTGTCAAAATACTTAATTTAGGAGTTAACAACTTTTCGTCAGCATTTCTGCTACTTAAGCTACTCTCAAAAAACAAATTCTAAAGCGTTTCATAAAATTACCTATCATACTATTATTTTGGCTTAACGTGCTATACAGTTTATGAACTTAAATTTTCTCTATATCTCGAAGGTTCTCGATAAAGAGAAAATTTCTGTACAAAAACTTTATCAGCACTGCGAACCAAAATAAGTGTTAAAAATAGTTATTATGATAACCCTTTCCCAGTTATGAAGGGCCTAGAAATTATAAACTCTTCCTAAACGCGCGATTTTAAAATCTATCCATTTATCATAATCTCAGCAACAAAGATATAGAGATTGTATTTCCGGAGAGTCATCACTACATCAGTTTCTTCGAGTCACTCAATCGAAAAGCTGTTTTAACAGAAATCACATCTTGCCTTGCATGCATTAGCAGCTGCTTTTCCCCCTTTTCCCGGGAAATTTTGAATTATATTGAATTTAAAAAATTCTGTTGTATAAGAAAACATGATTTTACAGAAATCCCAGCTCACATCTCACCTTGCCATTAGCCTGCTTTTCATCCTCTTCGCCCAGAATAACCCTGGTTCCCAGACAGGGTTTATATCCATGCTTCTTCACACAATATTTAAACAATCTTTCCATTGTATTAATCTCCTCTGGGTGGCTCTAAACACGGTATATTTATAAAATCAAGAAAGCTCGACTTTTTTGAAGTTATCAACTAAATCATAATTTAGTCTCGTCTTCTATACTAATTAGAAATTCCGCCAAAATATTGTGCGTATATATACCATTTTTCAATTCCTAATCTTAATGATTAGATTAAACACAAAATAAAACGAATACTAGAATGTTATTAATATATATGTCTTAGAATCTCCACCGATTTAAGGTTAAAAATATCAGAAAGTCTATTAAGAATCCCAAGAATATTTGTAATCGATATGAACTTTTTTTCAAGTGAATATATAACATAACTGCGAAACATTTCTTAGTAAATGCTTCTCAAATGCTTCTTAAACATGTTGCAATATGCATACAATTTTATACTATCATGACAAAAAGTGACAGTGCCTGAATGATATGATTAAATCACTTAAAAAATAACTTTTAATTAAACCCACAATTAACCAATTAAATTAATTCAAAATTTACCTTGATTTCATCCTTGAGGTTACAAACTGTAGGAACTGCTCTGAATGTAACCTCTGTTGCCTGATGGGATATTATTCGGGCCCGGGTTCGATCTTAAAATATTAAATTCAAGTAAACCTCCATTTAAAAAAAAATGGCTCAAACCCTTCATTCCGAGTGTGAATGAATGTAGTTTTCACACATTTAGATTATTCTATTTATAACTAAAAAAGTTCTTTCAGAAAAAGGTTTAAATGGTAACGCTGTAAATCAGAACAGACCCTCAATAAATTTGAAATTACGTGTTCTAGTTCCTTAAAGGAAAAATCACCTTCATAATCTTATAAAACCAACAATTGAAATATTCAAGTCAATTATAAAACTATTCTAAATAAGTATGACTTTGCAAGCTTTAGGGAATTATGAACAGATTTAGAAATTTTTTTTCATGAACTAAGTCTACAACTTAAAATCGTTACCTCTTCATACTTGATTCTCAAAAATTACTAATTTTTCTTTACCGTCGATTTTTGTTTGGAGATGTAAAATGGCTTCGAACCAGGGAGTAAGGAATAGAAGGGAGATACAACTGACGCGGCCCGCCCTACCCTACCATATGATTTTACATGCTTTGCAGACGGTACTCCGTTTGTATACGAAATATTCAGGATAGTTTATTGTATACTCGGTAATTGTACATGAGACAAATATTGAATTTCTTATTCAAATGAAGTACCGTCTGCTAAGCATGTATAATCAATCATATGGTAGGGCGAACCGCGTCAGATATATCTCCCTTCTATTCCCTACTCTCTGCTTCGAACCCATTAGAAAAACCTTGATTTTAAGAAAAAAGAGTAAAGATACTAATAAACAATTACTTCTTTTTCTTTGTTGAACCCAGGGTAACTGAATTAGGAAGTAAATCGGGAGAGTGAAGAAATCCCATATCCAAACCAGAACCTTGGAACACAATAGATAAATTTGTGTCAATACACAGGGTGTTCCACGAAACAAGACAAATGAAAATAGTCTTTGATCTTGTCAACCTTGAAACAATAGAACTACAAAAATTTCCTAGTCCTCGGATGTCCAAAATGTAGTCGGCCTATATCTTAATTTTTTCATATTTTTTGTATTTGTCTTAAAGACTGTAAAGGAATTAAGTCTTTGCCACAAACTCTGAGTTTCTTAACTGTATATCTTTTCAACCCAATGTCGTAGACCTTAGTTATTTCAAACTTTTAATTCTGTCAGATCAAATGATCTAAGTTTTAAATATCAAAGGTATACACCATCAGATTGATAAGATATTGGGATTAGAAGATTGAGTTTGTGGCAAAGACTCATTTCCTTCAGTTTCTCTAATTAATATATCGTGCAAGCAGAATTCACGTAGATTTTGTATTAAAAACAAGGGCCTATACAACTTAAATATAGACCCTCCCCCCCAAATATGAACTACACAACCAACATGTAATTATATCCATTGTAATTTTCCATTAACAGGATTTAAATAAAATATACAGGGTTACCCACAAAGAGACTTTTATTGAGACATTTGTTATTCCTAGAAACTAAAAACTTTAAATCATTAAAGTACTTTATTTATGACAGAAAACGTAACCTTAGGATATTCAAATTTTTAGAGTTTAGGGTCGTGTTTACAGTATCATCCTTTGTGGGTAACCTTGTATCGGATAATCGGATTGGGTAATTTAACATCGTCTAATACGCAACATCCCCCCTACTGAACTTATGATCCCAACTAACTTTCTGACCTACTGCAATATCGGACCTACTCAAGCCGTTGCTTTTTGTATTATTTGAGTGTTAGGTTTGGTTAAGACAATTTTTGGGGCCGAGCACTGCGGCTAGGACAGGCTAGGGGCCGAGCGCCGCGGCTAGGACAGGCTAGGGGGCCGGGCGCTGCGGCCACAATGCAATCTAGCAGCTGTTAAACCACGTGCTAGTAGATCGCATGTGTAGTTTAGCGGTTTTAGAGTAGGTCAGAAGTGGAGTATAGCGGATTTGCGTAGGTCGAAAGATACACCATCATCGGATTAGGAGATTACCTGTATTAAGACAACCATTACCGACGCAGCACTCATACTTCAAACCTAAACATACAGGGTGTCCCACATCATACATATTAAATAGTTTAGAGCCCTAAATATACTTTGTCCCGGCCCCATCAAGCATATTAGAGAGTTTAGAGCCTTACATATACAGGGTGTCCCATACATTATGCATATTAGATAGTTTAGAGCCTTAATTATACATGGTGTCCCATAAATCATGCTATTAAATGTTTAGAGCCATAAATATACAGGGTGTCCCATACATCATACATATTAGATAGTTTAGAGCTCTAAATATACAGGTGGTACATATAGTACATAAAGTAGTAATCTACGTACATAAAGTAGTAATCTACGTATATTAAGTATTCTACATACATAAGGAAGTAATCTACGCACATAAAATAGTAATCTACGTACATAAAGTAGTAATCTATGCACATAAAGTAGTAATCTATGTACATAAAGTAGTTATCTACGTATATTAAGTAGTAATCTACGTATATTAAGTATTCTACGTACATAAGGAAGTAATCTACGAACAAGTTGTAATCTACGTACATAAAATAGTAATCTATGTACATAAAGTAGTAATCTACGTACATAAAGTAGTTATCTACGTATATAACGCAGTAATCTACGTACAAGTAGTAATCTACTACATAAAGTAGAAATCTACGTACATAAAGTAGTTATCTACGTGCATAAAGAAGTAATCTACGTACATAAAGTAGTAGTTAATAAACCCCTGACAAATCTGCCTCAAATTTTTATGTTGGAACTGGGTAGAATATTCTTAGCTTTGTTTAAGTTTATGTAAGAGGGTTCATTTTTATTAAGAGTTCAATTTCCTGACAAAGCTGGGTTCCCAAGCTAGTGAGACAATTAATTTCAAGAGATAATCCAGTAGGCTGTCAATGTAAGTTATTAGACTGACGTCAAAAAATAAGAAGTTTAAACTTGATGTTTTTATTTTCATCTTCAGTAAATAATGGGATTATCAATAGATAGGGAGTTTGTTTATTCATGCAAAAAAAAAACAGATAAAAAAATCGACTTTCGTCATCATTTTTCAGGAAAATTTGATTAAAAGATACATGCATTTTGGATTTAAAGATACAGAAACAAACATATTTTGGTAAGATGTTTTGTCCAACACAAGTCAAATGTAGGTTTTTTAAGATAAATTTAACTGGACAAAAAATCTACAGATTCAGGGTTCTCCCAGGTACCTTAGCTAACAGATTCATGAAGAGAAAGAATTATTTGGTGTAAAATTAAGCCTTAAAAGATAATATTGAGCATCATTGTTGTGCCCCTGTCTTCTGGAAATTCACATAATAGTTTCTAATCCTGTTTTTTTGTCAATTGATTTTAAAAACACCATTGTCTTATAGCTTGTATATTTCACTCAATAATTGGCATAACGTACCAGAAAAACCATGATTTTTCATAATTTTTCATCGTTTTATGCTCAAGATATATATTTTCAATGCTTATTTCCCGTGATATCCTACCATTTTTAGAGCTTTGAAGAATAACACTTTATGTCTGCCAATGACATGTAGAATCCGACCTTATAGTTCAGTTTAGACCTTTAAATTGTGCTTTTAAAAGCAATTGTTAGAAAAATGGGAATCCGGAAATATTAGATGAGAATTTATTTATATAGTAATACAAGGATAAAACTCAGATGCTCAAATATCTTTTTAGAATGTACACCAAATATTTCGTTCTCTTCGTAAATATTTTACCTAAGGTACCCTGTAAGGTTATATTTTTTGTAAAATTAAATTTATCTTAAACCCTACATTTGCCTGTGCCAACAAATAGAAGGGAGAAATAGGATTACTTTGGAAATAAGTATCTGGAAATTGGTAAATGGAGAGGAAGTAATTGGGAAGCGAGTTAATGGGAAGAGAGTAAATGGGAAGGGAGTGGAGTAAATAGGAAGGGAGTGGAGTAAATGGAAGGTTGCCAATGGGAAGGCAGTAAATGAGAAGACTGTCCATGGGAAGGGAGTAAATAAGACGGGAACAAATGGGAAACAATTATTTAAGGGAGTTAATCAGATGAGATTAAATGGGAAAGGAGTAGATAGGAAGGGAGTAAATGTGAATGGAAGTAAATGGGAATGGAGTAAACGGGACGGGAGTAAAAGAAAATGGAGTAAATGGGAATGAAGTAAATGAGAATGGAGTAAATGGGAAGGGAGTAAATGGGTAGAAATAAATAAATGGTAAGGGAGTAAATAGTAAGGAAGTAAATGGGAAGTCGAAGTAAATGGGAAGGGAGTAAATGGAAAGGGAGTAAATTATAAGAGAGTAAATAAGACATGAACAAATGGGAAAGGATTACTTTATGGAGTAATTGGGATTTGGAAAGGAATAAAATGGGAAGGGAAGTAAATGGGAAGGGAGTAAATGGGAAGGGAGTAAATGGGAAGAGAGTTTGAATAAGGGGGAAGTAAATGAGATGGGAGTAAGTGGATAGTGAATAAACATGAGGGGAGTAGATGGAAAGGGAGAGATTAAATGAGAAGGGAGTAAGTAAATAAAAAGGAAGTAGATGGAAAGGGAGTAGATGGAAAGGGAGTGAGTGAATGAGAAGTGAGTAAATGAGGAAATTGATAAAATCTTGAAATTCACCTTCTCCCGCAATACCATACGCACATCACTTGACCAAATAAAGACTAAATTTAATTATGCTTTTCTTTATTTACTTTAAAAGCAGGTTTTTGGCTTTCTAATTGTACTCAATGTTCTCTACTATTAGCTGTACTCAAACATGTACTATCATAATTTGCTATACTAGGCTTTTAGGACGCTTCGTGCTCATTTTCTATTTTAACTTTTAATTGTTGCTTTATCTGTGACCATCTTCTTTTTGCGGATTTCATAATACTTTTTCGAATAAAATATAAGTAACCTTTAAGCGCTTAAAATGATAACTGTCACAATCTTATCTTTCGGAAGAAAAATCATATTCTCAACAATATCTCCTTTCAAGGAGATGTTTGCAAACTGCAAAAATATTTCTTAATTAGATTTTAAAATTATATGTTGGAGTAAACTATTGTGATTTTGTAGTGAATACTTTCCTGCTAGTTCGATTTCTTTAAGAGACCCGCTTTTTAATTGTTAAACGCAAACAATCCCATTAAGCTGATTAGGTACGCAAACAGTCCCATAAAGCTGATTAGCTCATCAGTATTTTCTCGTACGCACGTTAAAGATCACTGATCAGTCGTGCACAAGGATGATTATTGTCATGCACCAAAAAAGATACCAATGATTTTTTCCGGAAAAAAATATTGGTCTATATTTCGGGGCGTAAATAGGTGTGGGGGGGCTATGAGGGCAAATTACNCCCCCCCCCCCTCTGAAGTAAGAAAAAACTTTAAGCCCCCCCTGGAAAAAATCCTTTTCTTCGCCCCTGTAAAAATGAACACTAACCTTTAAATTTTTCCTCATATTTTTGAACTAGATTATTCCTTGGTTTTCATTTTTTGAGATATATTTTTCATGACTCTTCTAATTTAACAATATTTTGTACACTTAAAGATAAGGTTTATTCATTAATATATAGATATACAGATTCAAGGGTGGATACAGGATTTAAGTGAGGGGGGGGTGATAGATTTATTTCGGAAAAAAAATCCAGATTTAGAAACGAAAAGATAGATATTTTTCCTGTTTTGCCTTAGGTTTTCTTTCCCTTAAGTGCCATTGTGAAGCTATTCTGAAATCTCAAGGAGGGCTACGCCCCCCCCCCTGAATCCGTCAGGGGGGTGCAAAAGTTCCTGCCGCCCCCCCCCTGTATCCGCCCCTGTATACAGTTTCTTTACATGACGCTGATAAAAGTACAACTGAAATTTCATTTGTTTTTTAAAATCTAAATGTCAATTAATTACACTCTATGATGATTTAATACAATAATACGGTGATACCTTTCAAACAGTGGACTAGGAAGACGATATTAATTTTATGTTTTTGAAAGAACGTTTAACGATGTTAGTATAAACTCTCCTTTCACTCATGTTACTACTTTTCAGAATTTATGATTTAGATATTTCAAAAAATTTTAAATTTTTGTTTTTATTATAATTGGTCAGAATCTTTTTTATTTCAAATAACGTTTATCGACCTAAAATTTTTAGTGAGCTAACTGATAACAGAAGTATTTCTTTATTCAATATTTTGGACGGTTAAACCAAGACATTTTTTGGACCAATTGTCAGTGTCACAGATAGGACAGGCTAGGGGGGCAAGCACTGCAGCGGCCAATTGGTTGTTATGCATATTCAGATTCTTTTCTTTTACAACTATCCAAAGATATATTAATTTTCACAATTTCATAAATCTATTCTTTTCAAAATAATTCATGTTCTACAGCGGGACTCATTCGAACACGAGACTCCAGTTACAGTTTAAAATAGGATTAAAAACATGAGAAACTACAATTGTAAAGTATAAAATAATACACAGGCTAATTTCATTTGATCTGAATTATTAACTCTTTTCATGAAAACAACATCAAATACACACAAGACTGCTTAACTTACGTCATCCTACATCACAATTTGATGCAGTTCACTGTACAGTAAGCACATTCCACCCAGAATTCTTGTGAAGATTTTGAATATTAAAGGTACTGTAAAGGAAAAATGAAAGGGGGTATAGGCTGAAAGCTAATCACTTTAGCTCTCGATCACGACCCATGAAAGTCATATCTGATGTTCCTATCTCGAGAAATTGATATACGACTTTGTTAAATTTATACGAAAATTAATATATATACATTTTTGTATAAAAGTAGTAGTTTTAAAAAGATCAAATTCAGCAAATGAGCAACCAATCTGAAAACGATGATATCCCAGAGAAAGCTAATTGTAAATTAGGTTTACTTTTATATTTGTTATTTCTATTTTTAATTGATTTCATTCATAATATTATATATACGTCCATATTACTTGACCAGAAATTTCACTAATGGCAATGCAGTAAAGTGGTCACGTGATACAGGCGGAGACACGTGATCAGTATACTGCTCTGCCATTGGTGATAGTTCTGGTGACGTGATTTAAGTTTAAGATTTTATCAATTTTACATATATGAATTTTCGTATAATTTTAACACAGTTTTATATCAATTTCTCGAGACAGGAACAGCAGATAAAACTTTCATGGGTCGCGATCAAGAGCTAAAGTGATTAGCTTTCAGCCTATACCCCCTTTCAATTTTCCTTTACAGTCCCTTTAATAATATAAAAACTATAATATATCCTGATATAAACTGTTGGGAACTACACATGAAATAAAGTTTTACTTATTCAGGGTTAAATAAGAATTTCAATTTAAAAAAAATTAAACTGTGAAATTTATCAAAATGGCTTTTTTTCATTTCCCCGGCTGCATGGTGATTTGATTTGATCTAATGTTTGATTAGAGATGGGGGGGGGGGTGGAGGGAAGGGCTAAAGCACAACGAAGTAGAAAGCTATTAATACTTTCTAGTTTCTATTACAGGAAATAGAAATTACATCCAGAGTAAAAGGGTAAAATCAATCAATTTTGAATAAAAATAGATTTTTCAATATTTGATTTTACCAGGCTTTTAGCTTGTAATGTTGCTTTAAGCTTTTGCTTTAAGTCGCAATTTTTGAATACATTGTAGAACTAGAACTTTAGTCGGTCTCCCAGACCCATACAAAGCAAATAAGAAGCCAAACACACACGCATATTGAAGAACTTTTATAGAATACTTAATATATTTTGCATGAAATATTTATACTAATATTTAAAACTTTGTAAAATATGATAATTATATACAAACAAGGGCGTATACAGGGGGCCGAAATATTAGATGAGAATTAATTTATATAGTAATACAAGGATAAAACTCAGATGACACTTTTAAAATCTGAAACTGCAGAGTAAAGAACATAAAAAAATTAGTTTGCTGTTTTTTCTGCTAGTTTTGTCTGAAGAAGAGATAAAGTAGTTCATTTTAAGGTAATTGGACTGTATGTGTACCTTTAAAGTATCCAAGAAGCCAAATGTTTTGAATTTACAGTTCAAACTTAGCCCCCCCCAAGGAGCTCCTAGGAGGGGGCAAACAAATGTTTGCCCCCCTAGATTTATTTCTGTATACGCCCTTGTATACAAACAATTGCTAATACTAACCACATTTTTTAAAACAGTTAAATTTACAATCTTTTAATTTGATCAACTCCAGAGCACTTGATCTTGATATCTACTGTGGGCACCTTTAATTTAAGGAACGATAAAACTACACCTTTCCATATATTCATTTTAGTTAGTCCTCTCCTGATCAAAGCTCCCAATTCAACCCCTGACTGGGTACGTTAATCATGGGGGTATCGAATATGGATTATATTAATCTGCAGATTAACAAATGTCGAGATCAAGCATTGATCTAGATATCCACAATTTCAAGAGTTGCCAGATCTGAGCTGACGACTTTTGAATGTGATATCCTTAATCCCGATCAGTTAATTAATCTGGAGATTAATAACAATTGGAGAACAAGCATTATTTAATCTCAAGTTAAGAAAAAGAGTGGATCAAGCATTGATCCCGATATCCAGAAATCAAAAGTTCCCAGCTCTGAACAATTTCTTAAGAATTGCGGTATTTGGCCAATTATGACTGGGAAAATCTCAAATGAGTTATTGTGACATTTTTAAAGTTACTGTAAAAATGATGACATTATCAAAAATTCCAGATTTTAATTTAGAAGAATTTTCAAAAACAAATGAGGTTCGGAACTTTTTAAAAATTGATTATCCTGTTAGAAAGAACTAATCCGTACTTATAGTTAAATGGTTTGAATGGATGATTAGGCTTACAAATATTGCACATTAACCGGCCTAAATATAATAAACGAATATGGAGTGGTATTTCAGAATTCTTTTTACATTTTCACATTTTAACAAATCCATTTTGTGTAAAAAAAAACCTTCACCAAACATTTATCAAATATTTATAATTTGACTAGTTACATCTTTATTTTTATCACAGAGGCCATATCAAAATATGTAAGAAGGAACAACACAAATGTACATTAAAGACCAATTTTAAAGTTAAGTATAACAAAGGCTGTGAAAGTATTTCAAAATTACTTAATCAGAGATTAACTTCATAGTTCTTTTATATTATTATATACATTATATATACATTGGTAAATGACAAAATATGTTAAGAAATAAAATAATATGGATCCAAGGAATGATTGTTTATAGGTCCCGGGAATTATGGAAGATATCCAAGGAATGATTGTCTATTGGTCCCGGGAATTTATGGAAGATATCCAAGAGATGATTGTTTATTGATGGATGAGAGTAATGGAAGATATCCAAGGGATGATTGTTTATTGATGGATGGGATTTATGGAAGATATCCAAGGGAAGAATGCATATTAGTTCCAGAAAAAGATTTTCTATGACTCACAGAAGATCCTAAAGAATCTGCAGAAACCGAAGAATCTGATTTGATTGTACCAGATTTAGAGTTTCTGGCAGGAGGTTCAGGAGCAATAGATCCTGTGGGAGCTGGAGATCTATGACTAATGGAACCTGAAGCTGCTTGTGTTTCACCTGACCCGGAGATATTCTGAGTTCTGGATCCGTTCTTCCTGCCAGTAATAGGACTACTGGTAGAGAGGGGGTTTAGGTCCAAGTCGTTAAAAAATCCATCCCTGAAAAATTTCTAATTTATTATCTTCCACACGGAGAATGTAGAATGGAGATTATTAGAATTTAGATTTTTTTTAAAGGAAGTAATTTATTGCCACAAACTCAAAATTATAATCCCTAACTTGTTACATCTGATATTTAAATATTAAATTATTTGATCTAACAGAATTTATATTTTGAAAGGTTGCACAGATATAGAGATTAGAAAATCAGAGTTTGAGGCAAAAACTCAATTCCTTTAGAAGATAGGGGTTCTTTTTTACTTTGAGACTGAATGATTGGCGAAGATTTAATTCTTAACAAAAAAAGCATAAAGAAACTGATTACTGCTGCAGATCAAATAATTTTACTAATCTATGGTTTACACCATCAGGTTGCAAAATTAAAACGATTATAATATTAGAGTTTGAGAGGAATAATCAGTTCCTTTCTTGGTACCTGTGTTGATCTGAGCCAGAGGCTGAGGTTGGTTTGCTGGAGGTTCTGCTAACAGATTGCTTGCTAGAGGTTCTACCTCCAATATCAACTGATTGTTTGCTAGGGTTTCTACCTCCAATATCGACAGATTGCTTACTAGTAGGTTTACCTCCAATATCAACTGATTTGACTGAAACTCCAGGAACAAACTTAAAAATAAGATCCATGAACATTGAGTTATAAAAGAGTTTTCCGCTGAACATCCCACTTGAGACAGAGACGACTTAAAGGTTGTATTTGATCTGGGAAATGTGTATCAACAAACTTGTAAGCTTTTCAGTTGTTGCACCGCATCATTATGAAAAGCACTTTTTTGGTACTGATTTTGTCATTAGATCAGAAAGACGATCTCTATGTCGTCTCCCCACTGGCATGTTTAATGTTATACACTCTGTAAATAAATGCTCAAAACTTATTAACTTTTGGGTTTGCACTTGTGTTTACTTTTATCTTAATTCAACCCAAATCTCGCCATCTATTGAATCTTTTTCTCAGTATTGTAATAAGTAAGGAAATTACCTCATTTGTCTTATGCTTAGTAGCTGCTGAACTTCCCGTTCTAACAAGAACACGATCAGCTTCTCGAGCTGCAAAGGAACGCTCTCGGGAAATTGACCGGAACTTTGGTCTTTGCCGGGGAAGCGAGGGGCACTCTGAGCTGGAACTGTACAAATCCGCCTCACGGACCGTTTGGCGGATTTGTCGGCGGGTGGATTTGGCAGATTTTGGAGTTTTGGGGCGGGGAAGAGCAGACGCAGACATTCCTGCCATAGATTCTAATCTTTCAGCAATATCATCAGCTCCAGACGTTCTAAAACCACTTGAGATGAATCCAGTTTCATATATTTATAAAAAAATAATTTTGTTCTAGTTAATCACGAATTAAAAGTCAAAGATCTCAAAACCTCTGAATATTGTTCATTTGTTTGATTTAGATGTTGAAAAAAAAATATAATTTTACGGACCGTAAAATACGTTTTTTAATTCAGTATTTTAAAACGGGTATTTGAATGCCTTCCTGGTTTCGGCTTACATTTTTAGTGAAAGCAAAAGTTTAAATATGAAAATTCGACTAAATATTCGCTCTTTCAAATAAACGATAAAAACCTGATCATATTTTTTCTCCAAGCTGTGAGGGGTGAGTCTGGAGTTATAAGATCGACAGGTTTCATAGATTTTCTATCCTTAGATGGGGATTTATTTCTAAAAAGTATGATCATTAGATGTGTGCTCGGACATTTCACATTTTGACATTTCATTAATGGATATTTATGAAATTTAGATTCGACATATTATTATAGATCGGACATTTTGTAAATATAAATTTTTTCACATTGGATATTTATAGATTCGGCTTTTCATGTAGATTGCACATTTCATAGTTTGGACGTTTCATGTACAGTGATTACCAGAAAACAATGGAATAGAAAGACGACATTATAGCAATACTTAAGCGTTTTGATGTTGTTACAAAGCAAATATTTTTACTAGTAACTTGGCATATCACAATTTAAGTGAAAGGTGTCTATTTACACTGTACAATTGCCATGTCTATAGTTCAACTTGAACTAGTTTAAGTACTAATTTGAGTTTAAAAGTCGGCTTCCTATTTCAGAGTTTCCTGCTTATCACTGTATAGAAAATTTTACAGATTGGACATTTTAAAAACTGGAAATTTTATAGATTTTGCATTTTAAAGATTGGACATTTATAAATTGGACATTTTATAGATTGTACATAAGATTGTGCATCTTATAGGTTGGACATTTTATAGATTGGACATTTTATAGATTGGAATTTTATAGATTGTTATTTTGATCTTATTATTAAAGTTTATTTCAAAAATTGGACATTTTATAGATAGGACATATCATATATTGGACATTTCTTAAATTGAACATTTTATAGATTGGATATTTCATAGATTGGATATTTCATAGATTGGATATTTCATAGATTGGATATTTCATAGATTGGACATATCATATATTGGACATTACATAGAAAGGACATTTTTATAGTTTGGACATTTAATTCATAGATTGGACATTATGAAAATTGGAAATTTCATAGTTTGAGCATTTCAAATTTGGACCAATACCTAACGGAGGGTGGGTTTGAGCTCTGATTGTACATGGAGCAAGTATCACACACATCTCCTCTTTCTCTACACTCAGAGCAATCACAGGAGGAGCATCCACTGGAGTCAGAGGTACCTCCAGGTTTACGTTCAAGTGTTCCTAAAACATCACGGGGATACAACTGAGACAAAAATACTTTTTGGTCAATTCTTTCTTTAAATTTTCTCTCCATTTTCTTCATGATTGTCATCAAAACAGTTCTTTTATTTAATAGAATTAAATCCTTCTTATGATGAACAGGAATAAACAATTGCTTAGATTAAGCTACAGGGTGTCCCACGAAACATGACAGTTGATGAATAATTTGAATGTCTTCTTCCATAAACTATATTAAATATTAAAGACTTTTTGCAGTTTATTTTGTTAAAAAAATCTTTTATTCAAATATATTTACTTTGAAATCAATTTTACTATTATATGTCATATTTTTTTCCTTTCTGTTTGGTATCAAAGAATTTCGCAAATTATGGAAGAAGATTTTTAAAAATATTCACCAACTGTCATGTTTCGTGAGACACCCTGTATATTACGAGTAGAGCTTCAAATCCAAAGAAGTACTTTGTGACCCCGCAAAAAGTGAGACTTAAAACTTTAGCGGAACTGTAAGCGTAATTTCAGCTGACCTAACATGCAAAGATGTCAACGCCCGATGCACAACGGTACCCTTCAAAGCTTTGTCTGATCAAGTCAGATTCCAGTACAATAGTTGGCATCGTAGACTTTGTACACTCTCAGTACAGCTGTATTCTGACGTCACAAGTGTCAACTTAGTTTTGTGCATGGCAAAATTATTAATAATAGTGATAATTTTAGAATAAATTGCTTATCTTACAGTAAAATAAGTGCAATTTGCGTTCTTTATTTTCTGTTTTTACAGTTTTTATTTAATCTTGGAAAGCATGTTAACTAATGTTAGAAAATTTATATTTGACACTTGTGACGTCTTCTATAATTGGTCCATTTCTCTGTTGCCACCTATTGTACTTGATAATCTATTTGGATCAAGTATGATTAAGATATCAAGGCTTATCATTTTGAAAACTTAATACTCACAATCGTGGTTTCTTTACAAACGTGACTTGCGCATTATTACTGCACGAAAGCACTTTTAGACTGAAAAAGTGACAATATCTTCCACATTATTTAACTGATAAAGGTTTCAAGGGAACCGATATATGAATCGGATATTGGTATTCTTTACATAGAGTTTCAAATGGATTACGTTTACAGTCCCTTTAAGTTTTAAATTCAAATACCTGTAATTGAACATGAACAAACAGATCCACACAAAGATTGATATCCACACTCACTACAGGACATGTAGGAATCATTCAGGTTCTCCTTTCTTCCGTTCTTACTCCGGGTCCCCTCAGAGACAGGTTGCTTCTCTATCCCCTCCAGTAGCTCCTCTACACTCACAGCAAACTTTTTAGGTATTGAGATAGGAACAGGGTTTCCTATCTCAGATTTGTTTATCTTTTTCTTGTTCTGGACAGGGACCTGCTGCTGTTTTCTCTGCTGAACCCCCTTGATAGGTTTAGGGTTGGAAACAGGGAGCTTTGTGTTCAAGGAGCGGACACTGGGTTTAGAGGAGCGGGAGCCAAAATTAACCCAGGATTTGGTTTTATTGGAGACCTCCCTCTTCTTCTGCTCGTTCATGATGTTCTGGGAGCGGATGAAGATCTCGTCCTTGCTCATCGTCATCACCAGCTTCATCAGCATCTCCCTGAATACATTAGTCATGTTGTGTTTAAGTGAAAATATAAATAACTTTAGCTAAAGTTCCCCGTGGAATCAAAGAATCTAATCTTTCCCCCAGGGTACCTATGGGTGCTCTTATGAAGTTTTGCCAATTTTGTCCAGCTAAAATTATATATATAGCTGTACAAATATGTAAACTAGCTGAAACAAGCGTTGTCTGTGGCAATTTAAAAATCGAATTTTTAAAAAATAATTATTTTTGAACGAAAAATATCGAAAAAAAATTCGATTAAAAAAGTTTTTTTTTTTAGCTTACTTCTAAGGAACTTTTTTTTAGGGACCTTTTGAGTACCCTTCAGGGGGGTGTGGGCTCAGCACCCGATGGGACCTGTAAACCCCCTGAAATCCATAGATTTCACCGGTCCTGGAACTTTTAAGACGCTATCCACGCGACATGAACAGTCTTTGGGGAGGAGTTATAAAACCTGACTGGGTCAATATGTTTTGAACTGTCATGAATTTTCATTTTGATTCTATATAAAAGATATTTGTTTTAAAAGATTTTCCGAAAGAAAAATATTTAAGGATACTCAAGAGTTATCTCAAATTTTGTTTAGCCCATTCGGTCCAGCCGTTTGGCCAGCTATAGCTAACATATATACAAAATGTACAAATAAATAATATAAGAGCTTTACTATAAAGATTTTAGAGAGAATAATAGGTAATCTTCTAGAGAACTAATTTTTTTTAACTCAAGTTATTATTCAAAGTACGAAACGATATAACATTAAATAAAACATTGCACACTTCAGGTAAAGTTAATATTTGATTTTTAACTTTGTCTTGCAAAACTACAAAATATTGCAAATGACAACTTAAACTATTAAGAAATTTTCATGTTTATAGGGAAAAACTGTCAATTCGAAACCCAAAGATGACTTTTGTTATTTTTACTATACCTGTACACGGGTTTAATTTTGTTAAAAGACATTCCACCGGAGCTGACCACCTCTCTTAATATATCATCCACACTTTCAATCCCCTCCTTCTCCTTCAACTCCTTGAACAGCTCCTGGAGGTTGTACTGCCCCGACACGTTCATGAAGCTCTTACTCCTGGGTATTGCCACCTTGGTGTAGATATCCCCCTTCCCTCTCTCCTGCCCCTTGGGATCCCCTGTGATGGTTCGACGCTTCTCTAGTCGTCGGATAGAACTGGTTTTACGAAGAGAACTTCGACGACCTATAATATTTTTTATTGTGTTAGGATGTTTCATAATTGGACATTTCAAATAAATTACATTTCATAGATTGGGCATTTCATAGATATGACATTTAATAGATAGGACATTTCATAGATATGACATTTAATAGATGGACACTTTTAGGAAAGGACCTTTTATAAGGAAGATGGATACAGATTGCCTTTTTTTTTTGAAATTTCTTATAAATGGGTGCCTTTGAAATATCCATCTTTAAAAAGATGATCTGTCTCAATAAGGTATAAGATCCTTCATTTAATTTTACAAATTAAGAATTGTGTCTTTTGCCACGAACTCAAAGGAATTGAGTCTTTGCCACAAACTCTGACTTTATAATCCTTATATCTTTAAAACCCAATCTCGTACATTTTTGATATTTTAAACTTATATTATTTGATCTAACAGAATTCATAGTTTGAAATATCTAAGGTTTGCGGCATTGGAATCAAAAGATAGGGTTTAGAAAAGCAGACTCAATTCCTTTGCAAATGCTAATTTGTTTGCACCCTAATGGTGTATACCAATGATTGTTTAAGCTTAAATTATTTAATATAATAAAATTCATAGCTTGAAATATCTAAGGTCTAGCGACGACATTGGATTGCGCAAATAAATAGAAAATCAGAATTTGTGGCAAAGACTTAATTTCATTTTTTTTTGAAACACAAGAGCAAAATTTTAAAATTTTATAAATAATTATTTACCGATAGATCCAACAACTGCTGAAGCTCCAGGTCTACGTAATGTTCCAGTCCTTTTTATACTCCTCACACTCCGCCGCCTAGATACTCCGCCATCCGCCTCACCATCAACATCTGCCTTTCTTACACTTTTTCGCCGTCCTATGGTTGATGTTCCGCCTCCACGTACTTTCTTCCGCCGTGGTGGCCGGTTTGGTGCTTCAGAATCAGATGTAAGGAGTCGGCTAGAGGTATCGCCCTGAAAAAGGAGAAGTTTTTATTAAAAGGAAATTTAATCGTGTAAATATTAGAAATTTGAAACATGTCGGTTCTTTAAAATAACTTTTTAATAAGAGGAGTTATGATTGAAAAACAAATGATTTCAATCTTACGTGAAATATACTTTAGTTTGACGTAATTTATAAAGATACTTTAGTTTGACGTGATTTATATAAAGATACGTAAAGTAAAACTTTTAAAATATCTTTAGATTTTTAGTATATTTCTTTTTGTAATATTTCTAAGGAAACATGTGTGAAGCAAAAAAATCGCACAATTAGCATTTTAGATATTGCAAATGGCATTGACAGGAACACATTTTATGAAATGGAATATAATATTTATAAATAAGAATCTAATCTAAAGTGAATATTTGCAAATTATCTTTTTTCCATCTCATAATCTGTGTTCGTTTC